TCTATCTATCTATCTACCTATCATCTATCTATCTATCTATCTATCTATCTATCTATCTATCTATCTATCTATCTATCCATCATCTGTCTATCCATCCATCCAGATGGATCTATCTATCTATCCCTCTATAAATCTAACTAATGTGTTTATACACATGCAGGTCATATGACGGTCTGTCTGTCTGTCTGTCTGTCTGTCTGTCTGTCTGTCTATCTATCTCTTATTACCAAAAGCAAAAGATTACTGCTCCCCATCACCTGTTCTCCTTTAGCTTTTGTCTGTATCATTTTCAATTTTATCTCTATGTGTTTTCATCTTTTTTTTTCTAATTTTATTTATTTAATTTTGAGGTAGTCTCATGAAGGTAGGCCCCAAACTGGCTACAAAGCCAGTTTGTAGCGAAAGGCTAGTCTCAGACCCATGGTGATCCTCCTGTGTTAGGATTATAGATGTGTACCATGTTGACCCCGACTTCACCATTTAAGAATAAATTATACATGTTTTATTGGTGTGTTGCTCATTCCCTTGAAGAAGAATGTTACCTCAAAAAGTCAAGGGTCTGTTTGCTTTCTTTTAATTCTCCACATTCCCAAAAATTTCTGGCATGCAATATGCAAAAAACCATACTCAAGGAATAAAAGGAAAAGCAACTTTACTTTCCCATTTTCTAGGGCTTGGGCATAGCTTATCCCATCCCCTCTTCTTTGAGTTTGTACACATTTTTCCTCCTTAAGTAACACTGCTGACTAATGGCTAACATCACTATTTTTCCGAACAGTTATGTAAACTGTGTATCTTCATGAAAGAAAAACGACTCCCTTGAGAAAGCAACAGATGCCAAGTGTGAAGTCAGGAACTCTCAGGCACCCACCGTACCCGTATATCCCAAGCATCCTGTTCCACCCGACTGAGGTTGTGAGCATTTGGGAGAATCAACACCCGTGCTTCTCATTCCCACAAGACACAGACACACGGATCCAGCAAGAACAGTTAAATGACAAGCTCTCAAGACAGATGAAGCTTTACCAGCAGTCATCTGATCAGCTGACCGATGGCTAGTTAAGAAGCTGGACTCTTTGAGTCTTCCACTGTAAGTTGTGAGAGATTCTATCTTTGTTTTCAATCACCCACATCCTCTCTGTCAAAGTGGACCAATAGACGCCCCCTCCCCCACCCCCCCATCCCCCAAACTGTCTACAGACAGAGGCAGAAGGAGTTAACAGTCCTACTCTATTTCCAGGACTGCCAGTGACTTCTTTTTGAAGATTTTATCGTGAATTATATTTATGCATTTGTGTCAATGTGTAGACCCGTGCACATGGGTGCTGGTGGCCCTGAAGGCCAGAGGCATGCAAGAGCACCTGGTGCTCGAGTTCCAGGTGCTGGGAGCTTCCTTTTCCTGACATAGAGTAGTAGGTACTCTTAACCACTGAGCCACACCTCCAGGAGGGCCAATAACTGTGTGGCGAATAGAAGGTATGCTTTTAGTGTTCCTGTCCTGTGCCAAGCAGACACAATCTCTTAAATGGGAGCTAATCCTTCAGTCTGGTTCCTGGAGTGAAAAGACACATGGAACCCTGCTGTGACCAGAAAAGATCCAGCTCGTTCACGGATAATTCACAGGCTCCCCAAAAATGCTATGGTGGAACCGGCAGGATGGCTCACTGGGTAAATATGCTTGATGCAAAGTCCACCAACTTGAGTTTGGTTCCCATAACAACAGTAGAAGAACAAACTCCTACAAATTGTTCTAACCTCTATATGTGCACCACGGCATGCATGAGATAAAAAAAAGAAACACATTAAAACTTTAGTTTTGCAGTTAATGCAACCAGGAAGGTTTTGAGTGTGTCAGGCAGGTTCTGTATCATCAAATTACACCACAGCCCTAAAGAGAAAGCTTTACTGTTGATAAAATGTCCATACCATGTCAACAAACATCCATACATGAGTGTTTGCATCCCTTAAAGTTTTTAATACAGGGATAAGACCATGTATCAGATACAAAGTTAAGAGAAGGGATTGATGTGGCTCACAGCTGGGGATAACCATGTTGCAGGAGTGTCTTGTTCATGTGACAAAAGGCACATCAACACTCAGCTCGCTCGCGCGCTCGCTCTCTTTCCCTCCTGTTCGGTGCATCACACTACCCTACAGGATGTCTTACCAGCACAGAGCACTCCCCGCCCTGTTCACCCTTTCTCGGAAAGCCCACACGCACCCCCAAAGGCTTCCTCATTACTGGTCTCAGGTATTCTATTTACTTAAGATATATAAGGCCGTATGTAAGACTAGAATGGAATTAGTCTCTCCATGATAACGAGAAATAAAAGGAACACAGGCCAGTTCAGCAGAGGCTGGCATGTCACTGACGTGACCCCACGCTGACAACAGTCGCGCAGACAGCCTCTGATGCACACACACTTACAAGCAGCCGCTTGTCCAAGTTGGCTTTCCGCAAGGAAGAGGTAACAGAATTGGCGTCCTTCTCTGCCATCCAGGCTTTGAAAAGCTTGACGGCGAATGAGGCCGCAATGCCTGAGAAAGGAAAAGGAGATGTCATTCCCGTGTGCCAGAGACCCCGTGTGCGGCCGTGCAAGGCGACAGTTCTGACCAGGTTTCCTGAAATGGGGAACAGCTAATTTGGGAGAGAAGCAAAACAGACAGACAGACAGACAGACCTGCCCGCACAGCTCTCCTGTCCTACTACAAAGAAAGCATCTTCGTGAGAAAGAACCGGGGCATGGTGGCTCATGCCCACGATGCCAGAAACAGGAAGTAGAGACAGGAGCATTGTTACAAGAGACAGAGCACCTGATCTACACAGGGCGTCTGAGGACAGGCAGGGCAACATGGTGATATTCCACTTACAACAAAAACAGGTGAACAACAGCAAAAAAATCAACAAGGAAAATCAATGAAAATACTTTTCAGTCGGGCGGTGGCGGTGCACGCTTTTAATCCCAGCACTCGTGAGGCAGAGGCAGGCGGATCTATTTCTGAGTTCAAGGCCAGCCTAGTTCTAGGACAGCCAGGGCTACACAGAGAAACTGACTCAAAACACAAAGAACAGAAAGTTTTCAGAGCAGGACTCCTGATTTCAATCTGGTATAACTTAACTATTCATGTGTTCATTTATTCATGTTCACTTAGTGTGCAGGCCAGAGGTGGCACTGGGTATCTCTCCTCAGAAGTCCTTCATCTTGTTTTCTGAGACAGGGTCTCTTCACTGGCCTGAGGCTCCCCAGTTAGGGAAGACTTACTGGGGAGTAAACCCCAGGAACCCTCCTACGTCTACTTTTTGTACTGGAACCACAAACTGTAACACCAGGCCAGGGTTTCTACATGGCCACTGAACTATATATAGTATGCCTAAAAAGCACTAATTGCAAGAGCTCACGGTACCAAAAGTTCGACTGATGACCTCTAGGGTCACCTAATGACCCCTAAAGTCACAGGTTTGTAAACATGGATGAAACTCAGAGGATAAGGCTAACTACTGGAGATGTTTGGGGTAAAAACTACCAGACTTATTTTCATGGTATGAATACATACAATATTCTATGTTCAAAGAGAGGCAGTTAATGACCGCAGCTCATGGGTGTTAAGACTAAGATGACCGCTGGCCATCTGTGCCGTCTCTACTAGAAAGCACAATGGTCAGACAACTGGGGAAACCTCTGCTCTGCCCCACAAGGTCACTGCGCTCGAGGATTGTGGGACTTAAGATCAGGAGATGCAGGCGAAGGATACGAAAGCAGTGGCCAATGTGTCTCCTGGGAAAGGAGAGCCTGGGAAGGGCTGGGGAGGCTTCCCACTCTACTCTTTCCTTTTGCGATGCTTTCAACACAGACGTTAAGATGCTGAGGACGCCTAGGTTTGATGTGGGAGAGCCTAGAGACTTCCTGGCAGAGGGTGTGACTCTGGAGTGGTCTCTGCCACTGAGACTGGGTTGAAGTTGGACAACCTGATAGGCAGAACCAAAGTCTGATGATCTAGTTAAGATTCATTTATTTTTTGTGTTGTTGAGTTAGGGTTTTGCTGTGTAGCTCAGGCTGCTAGGAACACACAGTTCTCCTGCCTCAGCTTTCTGAGCAGCTGGAATGACAGAAGCGTAGTTCTAAGGACAGTTGATTGGTTAAGTGATGTCAGTAAGGATTGACAGTGACTGACAGTGACCTCTTGATAAGGATGGTCACCAACCTTTCGATTCACACACCAGGGCTGCTGAAAATGAAACACTTCTGGAATTTTAAAAGTAATTTAGATAGATGTGTAGATGCAAATCAGGAAGCCACTCAATCCCTTATTCATATTTGAATCATGATTACTTCCCAAAATAAACTACTGGTTAGTTAGCAGTCAGTTTTTCTGGAACACTTCCAATTTCTGAATACATGTTTATAAAGTATTTGATGATGGTGTAGTTGAAATATTGAACTGATTTTCCTAAATTGAATGTCTGCCTCGTGTTGGTGGCATAAGCAGCTAGCAATATTCCTTTCTAGCAGAATTCCTATTTCAGTTAAGCCAGGTTGACCTCTGATGAGTCTCAGTTCTGGTACCTCTCGCTGGTCATTACCTCAGTGAGCGCAGCCATCTGCACCATCTGACTGGCAAGGCTCCTGGACCTATATGCTAAGACGTGCCTTACTGTCAAGGCACAAGGAGGGGTGCGTGCCAAAGCTGCTCTGAGGACACCACTCTTGGAATGAAGCCTGGGGAATGAACGGTGTTTCTGTTCACTCTGATGTCCACCCTAACTTTACAGTCACTACTTCCCGTAGAAGACACGGGTCAGCAAAATGGCTCTGAGAACCTGAGTTCAATCCCTGGAATCTGTACAAAGGCAAAGCTAGCACAAGAAAGTTGTGCACAAATCAACACACACATGCTGTGGCATTACACACACACACACACACATTATACCCTTAAGAATCTTGAGCTGACTACTTTTCAAGATGAGCTCTCTTTCGGTGTCCTTGGATGGGAAACCTGAGCCTGCACACATGCTAGGTAGGTGCTGAATCAGTGACCTACACCCCCACTCATAGTGCAAACTATAAGCAATATTAGTAGCTTATAGAATGAATATAAACTTTAATACAATTAGGCAAGGGAATAAAAGTGAGACTATTCTGTAATCTGTTTTTTAAGAAAAAAATAAAGTGTGATTGAAACCTGAAGCTTAAAAAAAATCTATATTTAAGCCTATCACTCTGTATCACAGGAGACACTTGATGGGAAACCTGGAATGTTTTTGAAGTTACTCTCTTATTGAGTGGAACGGTCCTATTTTATTGGATGGTTATTAGATAGGAGTTGAGCAAAGACATAATATTATAATCCTTTCCTAGTTAGGAGACGGTGAAATATGACAAAGCCACAATGCAAACACAAGATCACTCCCATTGCAAAGACATTCTCCTCCCCATTTTACTACAATCAATTTCAAACACAAAAAAGGTAAATTAATTGAGTCCTACAACCACCACCCAACTTCTATAACGGTTGCTGTTAAAAATGTGTTATTTTTGTTTGATGCACATGTGTGTATCTGAGTATTATATATACACCTTATGTGTGCACATGCCCATGGGAGCCAGAAGAGGGCACTGGGTCCCCTGAAGTGATGGAGGGATAAGTAGTCATAAACCACCTGGTGGTGTTGGGAACTTATCCTTAGTGTCAGTAAGGGTAGAAAGTGCTATTGACTGCTGAACCCTACCCACTTAGGGTTACATTAACTAGCAAGGAGATTATTTTCTATTGTGATGGCTAAGGTAATTCAGTATTATCAATGTATAAGGTGTCAATTGTACCTTCTTTTTCTGTGTATAGACAGCTAATAATGTAAGATAGATGGAAGGTCCTGAATTCTTTTCAGAAAAATACTTTCAAATGTCCAGCATTAACCATGAATAATGAATGATTCTAGAACCATAACATTGTTGAGAATCTGCGCAATGCCAATTGTCTCTTGACTTGCTACTTTTTCCTAGCTACAACAGCACTCTAGCCCTATGGGCGTGAATGGAGCTGGGCTGTCCTACACGCAGGAGGAAGACTTCCAAGAAGAAACAGATGTTCTCACAAAAGCCCCTTTAATTTATTTTTAAGGAAAATAACTGTTTTATGTTAAATTATAATTTGCATACCATTATCCTCCTACAAGAAGACAGCCCACTCTTGTTTTATTGTATAATCAATTATTGCAGCCGTGCAAACTGCCAAACTTTAGAACTCACGCACGTATCTTTCTGCCGCAGCGATCTCGACTTGAAAAATATCCACTGTCCTTTGGACAATGAAGGCCTTTTTCCAAAGGTACCTTAATGTGCATGTGTGCTTATGTATGTGCATGTGTGTATGTCTAAAATCAGCAGAGTGTAGCCTTCCCCGGAACTGCAGTTAGAACTGGAAACACACCCTAGAATTCCACAAGAGCAGCAAGTGCTCTTGACTAGCATGCCATCTCACCCCGAAGATCTTAAAAATGTGACTTGAACCAACGCCCGAGAACCCTGCCTTCATGTTTGTCTGCTTTTTCAGGCAGAGCAATTGCTATGTAGCCCAGGCTGGCCTGGAACTCACTCTGTAGCCCAGGCTGGCCTGGAAC